AGTGATAGTGAGTTATCAGAAGACGGAGCCGAAGGAAATGAAGAGGATTTACCAGCTTAGAATTATTTCTATGGAAAAAATCGTCATAGGTGGAATATTTCGGAAGTTGTACCATCATCACGTACAAGGAAGCACAATATAGTCATTAAAGTACCAACTCTAAGAGGAAAAGCTCATGAATATGGAGAAGAAGCAGCTCCGTTGACGGTTTGGCAGCTTTTGTTCACTGACGACATGTTGGTACATATCGTTAAGTGGACCAATCACAAGCTCAAAGAAATGCGAAAGAGATACAAAAATCAAACCAGCAACCTAAACGACACTGATTTAGTCGAAATAAAGGCACTATTGGGTCTCTTAGTATATAAATCGGTGTTCAACAGCAACCACGAGAACATTGAAACACTTTTTGCCACCGATGGCTCTGGAAGAGATATATTCAGAGCTGTCATGAACATAAAACGATTTGGTATTCTCCTGTCAGCCTTAAGGTTTGATAACCCAGATGACAGGAATGAAAGAAAGAAGCTAGATCCAGTAGCACCAATATCTTTCATTTTTAATAGTTTTATAAAGAACTGTCAAGATGTGTACGGAGTTGGCCAGTCTGTGACTGTCGATGAAATGCTCGTGAGTTTCAGAGGAAGATGTCGATTTAAAATGTATATGCCTACGAAACCTTGCAAATATGGCATAAAAATTATGGCATTGACGGATGCAAGGAATAGCTACCTCTATAACGCATATATATACTGCAGTAAAGATTCCGATAGTTTCGAACTTCCTGAGGAACACAAGCGGTATTCCAAACCCACGCAATCAGTTCTACGTCTCGCGAAGCCTCTGTTTGGAACTAATCGCAACATTACAGCGGACAACTGGTTTACGTCAATAGAATTAATGGATGTCCTATTGAAGAACAAACTGACCTATGTGGGTACAATGAAGAAAAATAAAAGAGAAATTCCTCCGGCATTTTTACCCAACAAATCAAGAGGAGTTGGATCAACAATGTACGGATTTCGAGAAGATTCCACTATTGTGTCTCATGTAAGCAAAAAAAATAAAGCCACAATACTCATATCTTCTATGCACCACAGAAAATATTGTGATCCGGAAACACAGAAACCGGAAATAATAGCCTATTACAATGCTAATAAAGGTGGAGTTGATTCTCTTGATGAAAAATGTTCGAAGAGTACCTCAAGTCGCCGTTCGCGTAGGTGGCCACTGGTTATTTTCTACCGACTATTGGATATATCGGTAGTGAACTCGTATATTTTACACCAGTGCTATAAGAAAAATGAATTGCAGAAGGAAAAATCGGTATTTGCTAAGATGTTGGCCGCTAACCTGGTCCGTGAGCATATGGAATGGAAAAGCGACTAGAGAGTCCCCGTTTACCTCGGGATTTGCGACTTACGATAAATCGCATCCTTGGCAAATGTGAACATCCAGCAACAGAAGCTGAAAATTTGGTTTTGGAAAAAAAGAAAGCCTGCTTTTTATGTCACCGAACGACCCATCGGATGACCAAATTTTTGTGTGTACAATGTAGGAAGCCTGTATGTCTTCAATGCTCCAAACCCAAATGTATTAGCTGCATAAATATAGGCAATGTTTGAGACTTGCAGTGAATTTTGATTGTGTTCTTTTTGTATTTATTGACTATAATATACTTTCCTTGTTCATTACTTAACTAGAAAATAGAAAAATATTGAGACTTTTCCATAGTTTTAATTTAGTTTCTGAATGTTGCAACAACAGCGTTATTTTTGTATGGTTTTAGCATAGTTAATAAAAATGTTTCTTTTATGTTCTTGTATCATTTTGAAATGAGCATTTTACGTATTAAACACATAAAATAAACATCCAGTATCAGTTTCAGCGAAGTTATTGCTTGCTTTTCGCCTTACTCTAATTTTTTGAACATCTTGAAGTTCGCAGTCTCCGAGACGGCATGTTTCCTTTTGTGTTCCAAAAATTCACGTTTCCTGTTAAGGGTTAATGTTGTTATTGTTCTTTTCACACGTGTGCCATTTTATTTCTAGTTCAAGTTGTAGGTAATTATTCATAAGCTAACGCATAGCCGCGTACAAGGCTTGCCTTCTGCGGGTTTTCTCCAATGTTTATTGTTCTGGAATATGTCATTTCTAGTTATCTGCTTATATTTTGGAAAATAAACTTTATTATTATTTATTCGCATTTGGCGATTGATTGCTCAATTTTAAGCAATTCAATATACAATAACGCTCAACGTTAACAGCCAGCTATTTTAAATGATAATGACTTTCTATTGTTCAGCTTTTAAGTACGCATGACAATCTTCAAAATGATGTGTCAGTGACCACCGCTCTATTTAAAAAAATGTTTTAAGGTGGAACCCACCTGCCACTCAGAAACTTCCAAATATCAATTGGCTAAGATATAGTACTCATGTCTTAATTCCATTACCCCGGATTTCAGATTGCTAACCTTAGGGTGGATTTCACAATTTAACAAACCATTATTCTGCACCAATAGGGTACGAGTACCAAACAGTCCGATAGAATTTACCCAATCAGCCTCAAGATCTCTCCGTCAAATTTTTCGCAGCAAATAGCATCAAAGTATTCAAAACAAATCACTGTAAAATATGAAGTGACAGCTTGCCATTGAAATCTTTTCAGTTTATTAAATATTATGAAATTATGTAAAACTGAGCCAAAATTTTTAAAAATGCTTGATGTCTGAGTAAAATCTATTTTTTCAGATTAGCTGAAGTTTTTCCCATGTTTACTGCAACTTTTGTAATCCATATGTGATTATATCACCTACTGTGTGCTTATAGTTTATCCTATATTTGCAAACTTGCACTTCCAAACCCTTACATGAAAAAGCCTTTTCACTCAAATTTTTGTTAGGTGTTGCATTTCAACACATTCATACACTTCTTTCCAGTTCCTCAACGATATTTTAACCCCACTGGTCCGAAACTCTTCAACAGTTTCAACATTCATACATACAATTGCAGTTGCAGTTTTTTGTTTTAATTTCAGTGTATAATCAGTTGCACCATCGGTGAAGGTACATTCAACATAACCACGTATTTAGGGGTTCGTGCAGATTTAACGTGTACACGACAGTGTAATATGTATTTCTTCAAAAAATCTTGGAAGGAGCACTTTTATACGGAAATTTGTTAAAAAATTCCATTTTTCGCACATAACAAAACAAGTGATCACAAAACATAGAATACAGTGACGTTGGAGAAGGAGAATAGACCAAAGAAGATCGGAATTGACATTTGAAATTAGTGTCTCATAATGTTAGTGATGGGAGAGTACATTTGCGATCTGTGGAATGTATTGGAACGGTTAAAAATTATGAATTGAATCGTTTTGACGTTATCTCGACTGAAAGAATGGAATATCTGCTCTGTTTCTGTATATATATATATTGTGGTATTGTTGCATAAAGTAGTTGGTCCTCGAACTAGTTCCTAGAACTGAACGCAACTTAATGAAACAAACTGGAAAGCACATCACTTTTTCAAGTAATCCAAGAAGGGACACATTGTCATTTCATCACACTGATGATGGGAGAATCAAAAGCCTGAGATTCGCTTTGCTTCTGTGGCTCAGAGATATAGTGTTTTCTTCTGATAAAACTAGCGCAGTCTTTGTGTTTAAAATACTCTACCTTAGTTAATACCTTTGATCCTAAAGTGGCTCCCATAACAATATTAAACAACTCTCATGTCGTGTCGCGTATTTCGATACGATGTCAAGGGCCGGCAGGGGAAAATCTTTCTCTGAGAAATGAAAATCATTAAACGCGCTGTTTTCAGTCTATTTTATTTTATCTCTTGGGGACGTATAGAACGAAAAAAAGACTACAGTGCTCAGTGGCCACTCAGTGGCTCAGTGCTCGTCTGTAATGATAATATTCAAATACTACTAAACACCTAAATAGCTTTCTGGCCTTTCAATTCCGAAGCTACCAGTCCTCGCTTAGAGATGGTAGCACAGTTAAGGATATACTCGGGGTATACGGTTACGGATGCTTATGATTCCTCTCGATATCGATATATCGCCATGAAACCATCGATGCGTAAAGATCGATGTTCTACGTCCGATGTATCGCTGTTTTCGATACATCAATGTATCGTCTATTGTCGCCATCCCTATATTGTACCCCACCAGTCGCCAGTAAAAAACCTTAATTACTAATAATTTTAGATCTATGTCTACAGTAATTGCATTATGCACCTCGGAGATGTAGGAATTAACATGTTTTACACATATCGGTGTTTTAGGATGGGGATGACATACTGTTTTGATTGCTTTGAAGAAATTCATTAACCCATGAATTTATAACAAATGATTACTATTATGATGTAAAGAGAGATGAGGAATTGGTTGGAATACATTTTATATTCTATTTTCTTGCAAACCGCACAATTCAACAGGTATGTGTAGCTATAATGATCACATATACACACACAGTATATTGAACTTAACAAATTTCGAGATTTTCATGAATTAACAAACCACCAAACCTGCTGCCAAATTTAACAGCTAGAAAATCGACCTATTATTTCTCCCATTCCCATTCGCTGAGGGGATAACGGATGGTTAAATGTACACCTATAACATAAAATACATGAAAGTGGTCCTGTTTTCTCTGTACAAAAGCATCATGTTGGAATCAAAAAGAGGTCTCGTTTGTAATACAGTCGAATTTTCACGATTTTATTCAACATTTTAATAGAAATCACTGATATTCTGAGACATTTGACAGCTTCCGTCAAATTGCATTTCGATAAGGTGTTTTCCTATTGGTCCATAATAATAATGTTGGTGAAATCGGCCCTTAGCCCTTCAAAAAATAAGTAGGGAGTCTCGCTAAAAAACACTGTATAAAGTCCAAAGTAAGCATATACATCAATATAAGGCAGCTTTCGCTTGTTTTCCACCGAAACCAGCTGCCAAGTAGCACTTAACAGCTGTCCAAGGTTGGTGGTGTGTGATCGGACGACGAAAGCTACATTACTAGTTTGTTAAAGATATACATGCTATTTTTTCAATACACTTTATTTTAATTCATAAATATCTACATAATCACATTCAATAAATTATAACTACAACATGTAAAGAAAAACTCAGGCTTCAGTTTTTCCTTGCTTCCTCAAGTTGAAAAATTCAGCGGCAAGAGCAGGGTCCCCAATTGAAGTAGCGTGGCTGGTAGCAATTCCTTTACGTCCAGTAGAAAAAGAGTTGGCTATGGCACTATAGGCACTACCTCCAGCACCGCTGCGGCCTCTTGCTCCACTAAACTGGATTGGGAAGAAGATATTGTAAGCGGAGGCACCTGAAAAAACGTCATCTCTTTATGCTCTGAAAATAGTAGATTTGCCGAACGTTGCCAAGTAAGGAAATAGTTTGTTTCCATAAAGAATCGTTCAAATTATTACTTTTCCAATTTGGGATGGTATACGTCACAGCACAGAGAAAATGTGTTCCTGGACCCAAAGTTCATAGTAGTTTAGCAACGGCTCATAATAGCTCCGTAATGCTGATTTACTTTTTTAACAGCATGGTGGTCCACAAATTTATAGTGTGATCGGACTTGGGCGAGAAGATCTATTTGTTCAGGGCTAAAAAAAATGTTTCGCCACATGACCTCCTCACTCTCTACAAGGCCCAGTTAGGACCTAGCCTCGAGTATTGCTCACATGTTTGGAATGTTGCCGCCCCGACTACATTATCTATGCACGATGCTGTTTAGAGGAGTGCTGTCGAACTGATCGATGACTCTCCTTTAACAGACAGCCTCGGGATCCTTTCGCACCGGCGGGTCGTCGGCGATCTAGCTCTCTTCTACTGCCACGTCAACGGGCTTTACTCCTCAGAGCTCTCAGTCATGATGCCGCCGGGTGATGTACCTGACAGACAGACCCGCCTGACTCCGGCCTCCTATCCCAACCTTGCCGAACTTCGTACAACTAGAACTGGCGGATACGACCGCCCCTTTGTTCCTATGGTATCGGGATTGCGAAACAATCTACATAAGGCGGCTTTTCCTAACTCTACTAACGTTGGGCAGGTCCAAAATCGGATCAATGAAGCTTTAAGCTACCGTGGCATTTAGGCTTCTGCCTGCGCGGCTGCTTCGGTGTAAAAAAAGCAGGGAATTAAACAATCCTTGGTAGAGTTAGAGGTAACGTGAGAACTTATCTGACGAAGAGAATGTGGAGTAACCAAGATCTCTAGATTTATGGCTATTTCATTGAATTTCAGAATAAGTCTTTGGATGTATTATGATGTTTTACACAAGGAAAATCAGTATCACTCATTTGCATTAGTCTGTTTGGTCTAAATGTTGATTTGATGATATCTCTGTCTGCTAATGTTCTTAAGAGCATAATCTCGGTAACCGTTGTACAACTTTTAACGTTACGATTGGACAACATATACTGCGAAAATCTTATAAAAATACTACTTCTCATGAATCTAACTAATCATATAAGAGATATCCGTATATGTATTTGTTCCATCATTAGTAGTAGTACAGAGGAGTTAAGAATGACTATTTTCGGATATTGTAGCATGAAGAGCTCAAATTCCATTTCTTTTGTCTAATCTTTTTAAATCGAGTTGCAAAAAGGAATTCCGATTATATTGTTATTTACTATTTCTCTAACGTATAGAGTTGAAGCCAAAAATATCTCAGTGTGATCATAATTTTTTGTACTGGCTGTGGGCGTACTTTAAAGATTAGTTATCCGTGTTTAATAAATCTTTCATTTTACATTTACATTCCCTACTGAAGAAAATATTATAATTTTTACCTCTTCCTGCTGCTCCTGAGATTCCAAAGGGAAATGAATCGCTCGCACTGTCGTCATCATCAGCCTTTGTGGGCTTTCTTCTTGAAGAAGGTGCAGCGAAACCAGAAGGCTCTTCCTTACCGGCTGCTAACTCTAAAGTAATAAATATGTTATAGTTTTGCTTTTCTATAAGTTTTCAGTTCATTAATTGGAGAAAAACGTCTTCTTATTGTTAAAGTGTTTATTCTAATTCTTTTTGTGGGTACGTAGGAGGCTGGTCAATACAGCAATTCAATAAAGAGAAAAACTGGAAAATGAATGTTCTCGTCTATCACTGATCGATTCAAAATGTATCTGGATAATATCGATCCGGTAAGATCTTCTGGTTATATTCGAGGAAATGTAATATAGATAATTTTAAAACAAAGCGTTTGTTTCAAACCACGGTTCTTTGTCCTAACTAAAAGAAATATTACTGCGTTACGTTTACGTACTATAACATGATAGACTAACTGTCACCAGTTTATTGTACTTTTGTTATACAAAACTGATTCAGGTGACGAGTCACAAGTCTACATATCTATTTCTCTACAGCACCAAGTATGATGTAGATGTATATTCTTGTAAGCCCAAAACAAGTGCAATAGTCCCTATGTTGACAATTTTTCATACAGACCTGGACCCAGTTCAGCTTGTGGTGCTGGTGCCGATTCTAGCGCTATTTCCGTTTCTGGTTCTGGCTGTTCTGGAGCTAGACCAGCACCTTCAGCGTCACCTTCAGGAATTAATGATGCGGCGTCCCCTTGCGGAATGACGTCATTGTTGCTGTCAAGTAGAGCATCGTCTGAAAAATAATCATTTTGGTTGAACCACACAAGAAAACTGAGTTTCGTGATACTTGATAAATAAAATGCTTGTATTATACATTTCGGTAAAGCAGAAAGGGGAAAAGATGTTTAGCTTGACATTCGTTTGAGTGAAATGATATTTTTAGTCTACATCAGTGAGATGAAATTATCGGCATAGATCAGGGCAGACCAAGTGTTTGCTTTTTAAAGCATTTGTACAGACTATAAATCAATAGTCGTTTCAGACAATATAAAATATAGGGATGCTTTGGTAAAGTTTTCGAGTGATTAACAATCACTAAAATTCACCAAAATATACAGTGCTTCAGAGAAAGGTACTTCCTACTTATTTTTTGAATGCGTCAAGTTAATTAGCTGAGGATGAAATTTGCACATAAATGCTATTATATTAAAGTAAAGATCACAGTTGAACATTCCAAGATGGCGGTCGGGCGCTACCTTGTAACATTCTTTTAAATGGAACAGGGGATTATGTAATTCTTTACTTTAATGTTCCTCATGAGTATTTATAACCCTAGAATATAAAATCATAATCTTTCAAATTTGATCATTTCGGTACTTTGGATCGCTTATAAATCGGCAACTAATCATCAAAATATTATTGTAAGCAATATAAATATCCTTCCTCTGGAAGGGTCTCTGGATAAGCAATAAAATACAAAACATTCACTTTAAAAGAGTCTGACCGATTATAACAAACTATAGCGTTTCAATGACTGATAGTTCAGTTATAAAGTAAGAAAAACGTTTAACTTTGACAGCCTGCCAGTTCAGGATTTTAAAGTATATTCTAAAAAGGCGCTCAGTTGCCATCTTGAAATTTTTAACTGCCACTTCTTTCGTTAAAATATAGTATCCCTGCATCAACCACTGATTTTAGCTTGCTAACTGGACTCGTTCAAAAAATAAGTGGGCTTTTTGAAACGTACTGTATAAACAATCCTTCGAAAAGCTTGGTATGAAACGCTGCGAATTATTAAAATTTACGATGTTTTTGTAAACACGAAAATACCAGTAAAAACTAATTCACACTCTAGTTAAATGCATTTGTCGCATGCTTTTCGGATAATTGTGATGGTTTATTATGTTTGCTAGAAAGCATCAGAAACTCATATCAATGCTTAAGAATACTCGTAGTCATGTTTTTTCTATTTTTGCGGCTAAGTTAACGAATTGTTAATACCACAGATATTGAATTGGATAGTAGATATTTTTTTGAAAACAAGTTTTGAAAATACTACAGGGTTCAGGCTCACCTTGGGGTGCTGGATATCCTAAAGCCCCAACCAACAGGAAACTGAACAGGCACAGAGCGATCATTTTTTGGATATCGTTGGAGATGTGTGAGCGACAACTGACAAATCAATTGGAAAAATCGGTATTTATATCGGCAAGGAATATCGCAAAGCTCCCTCTACCGCGCTATAGACCATCTTCTTTAGTTTTACGCTTCCTAGTGCCTTAAAATGTAAAAATGGGAGATTTGAATACGTTAAGAGGTTTGAATGAATTTTATGAATAAAGTCGGTATAACGGTAGACGCGAAGAGATTTTTAATTTGCGGCAGACTTTTCGCACGCTATTCAGTTAATGTACACTGCTTAACGGGGAAAAGGTGATTCTCTTTCTCGAGATCAACCTGTGAAACGCAAATGTTTAAAAGCCACGCTATACTTTGGAATAGTGTGTGTAAGATTGTAAGGTTACGACAATGTATCCAAGAATGCGTGGAGAAGCTTAGTTTCTTTCGCAGCGAAGAACTGGGCAGCTGGATCTAATTGTTCTTAACAATGTTTACTTTACCAGAGTAAAAAGTTTATTTATTTAATTGTTTCTCTAAAGTTGGAAGACCATAAAGAATAGATTCTATCTAGTTAAGAGCTAGTTTGAAAAACAGTAAGACCATTGTGTTACTCTTGACTAGTATGAATATTCTGGCGTATAAATATACAGCTCGTAACTTTAACTATTTACACGTTAGAGTGCGTAACTTTAAGCCGAAAATGGGAAAATGTTTTGCGACAATTTTATCGAGTTACGTGTGACCAGAACAGCTTTGTTTCATTATGTAGAGTAATCCATAATAAGTGTTTAGGATGTTTTTCATTTATTGAAATTTGTTGATGTTGCGTTTGAGCGAGTCACACAACAATATCTAGTGAGGCATGGCATTTGAATCAGAAACAAAACCAAAAGAATAACTTAGAATAGTGAAAAAAGTCAAAACTTTTAACATTAGTTTGTAATTCTAGGTTAAAATGCACATCTGGAGTATTAGAAACTGCTCAGCCTTCAAGGGACACCTTAAAATTAATTTATGAAGCAATTTGGATAGTTTTGACATATTCGCTACGCTAAAGTGTTCTTTTGTTGTGGCTCCTCCAACGATCACTTATACAGGGTGACTTTGAAGTTGAGTCATTAATTTTCAGATAATGATTGTAGAAGGAAGATAAACCAAAATATGTGTGTAAAAATAAAAAAAAAATAAAAAAAAAATGTTACCTTGTTTAATAAAGTATCCTCCCGACAAGTATTTCAGTGCGGACCTGTATTTGATCGTGCGGTCTTGGAGCAGCATGCCCTCACCTGTGAGGTCTTAAGTCACCTGATTCACGAGCCCTTTGTACTACATTAACAAAGGCACGAGGGGTTGGTTGCACCAGATTGGGAAACCGATTCGCATAAACCCGTGATGCATCCGGGAGCATTTTGTAAAGACTGCCCCCCCGTAAATAAGAATCATGTCCACAAGTTCAGCATTTTCGTAAACATGTGCCATTTTTGATTTCGTTTGAGCCACGCAACACACTACTATTCACTTACGCGTTATCGACTGACGAAAAACATCGTGATAAACGTTTCAAATTCTTTCGCTTTTTTGTTTCCGATGCGATGAACCGGTCAGGCGGATTATATCCGTTGTCGCCAAACACGAGCATATAATAGGCAGGGCGGTACTCAAACTTCCAAAGGGCTGTAACTTTGTTACTTTAATTTTACCAGAAAAATGGTAAAGGAAAAAAACATTTCTTTTGATCAGATCTACTCACTGTTAAAATAAATGACTCAACTTCGAAGTCACCCTGTATAACTTTAGCGTATTTTAATCGACATCCTAAACAAAATATTTTTCTGACGTACTGAAGTTGATAGTTTCAGTATGAGTGTGTGTAAATTTAATAAACATGAATAGAAGCCCTTTTGTACTATAGATGCTGATTTGTTAAACCTTATATTCAGTGAATGCTTTCCTTTTTATAAAATATAGTAAAAATCAGATTATATCACTGGAACGCCTCGTTCACAGATTCAGAATAAACATCATCATGAAATATTTTTTACAATGCGCTCTCTTCACTGTGGTTGGCACCGACGATTTTAACTTGGCAAAATTCTATTTATGTCAAATAGGTTGGCTCTGCATTTCTCACGCAACGCCGTCATCAGTTCATAAAGGATTAAGTTCAATACAAGTTAGAGCGTCTGAGAAAAAAGTTAGTTAAGAACACGTATAACGATCCATACATTTAAACTATAGATTTTCTTTCCCTGCCCTACCATCTGGCAACATCGCATCTGCCCAATACCTAACGCGGCAGCGCGGCCGTAATATCAGAGTACTCATCAAGGTGAGAACGCGACCGGGGACAGAAGGAGTCGCGTATCGAAGACACAAGTACGCCACTAAATCTATAATGTGTAAAGTATGTCTAATACGCCCGTACAATTACCGAGGTTGGGAGCGTATAAATATACTGATATCAAAAAATTAACTCCTCACCCCCAAATTCTGTTACCCCTAATTTTGTTTCTCAAAGATGATCACGATTCTTTGAAACGTCAAACAAAATAAACATATCTACATAATGTTTAAAAAATATAACTGTTCAAGATATGTAATATGGGTGTCGACATGGGCAAAATGTCAGAAATCACTCAGTCCAACTTATGTGGTTTCACTTGACGACAAGAACATCATGGATCAGCATCAGCATTATAACCACGATATAAATTTCGGATGTTACATGATGGATGATAAAATAATTGTGTATGGAGTATTATTTGCATTTACGGGGGTATCAACTTCTCTCTAAAAACTTCATTTACACGTAGGTACATATGCCAAACCGCCATATTGAAACTTTCAACTGTTGTTTTTATGCTCAGATATAGTACTGATGCGTCGATTCCACTAGCAAGAATTTCAGCTTGACCTATTCAAAGAATAAGTTGGGTGGACCTTTCTGAAAACCACTAAATACGAATTTTGTAGTGATATTGTAATGACACTTTCATTTTCAATGACCGCCGTCTCGAAAGTACCGAAAATATTATACATAGGAGAAAAATTCTGAAATTTACCCATTTAAGTGTATTTTCAGGCATATATACCGTAAGAAATATGTTGCAATACTTTAAACTACAGTAACACTATCGAACGTCTAAGCTAATGGTATACTAGTCTAAGCTGTCGATATGGCGAACTAAGTCCGCTAGTATACATTGCAGTACTTTGCATGAGTGTTTTGCAACTAGGCTGGGGTATACACAATTTTATTGCATCTACATCGGGACCTGCAAAATTTAAAGGTAGTTATAGAACAATAGGATATCAGACATACTGTGTGGAGTTTATTTGACAACGGAACCTGTTGTACGATCAGTTTATTTTCAACGCAAAGCAGTATATTTTGCGTACCACCATACACATCCTAAACCTTAACCTTCTGTTGAAGACATCTGTACAATACAACTATAGTAAAATCTAAACTGTTCCACATAAATTTTCTTTACTGCTGCGTCGAGTACTCGTGGTGGAAAAGTGAGGCGAATAATGATGATGCGCTTGTGAAGGACTAATGTGTTTTAGCAGCTCTTTATCCTAAGGTTAAAAAACTCATCGACATATTCACAACATGAAATAAATCGGGTTGTATGTACACTATGCCCGGGAAGAATTATGCAGGCCGACGGAATCAAGGGGTCAAAAGGAGGCATATTAATCAAAGTTTGTCCACGTGGCAAAAAAATTACAAGGTTGTTGAAACAGCTCTGTGGAAAATAAGGGATTACATATAGGTAACAAACAGGTTCTCGGGAAGCGTTAATGAATGTCTACTACGAGTTTTTAATGCAATAATAAGAAGTTATATTGACAACGGCTGAATCAGCTATCAAACACCAAGCAAAACATTAAATAAACTGCAGTACATCCAGAATAAAGCCCTAGAATTGCAATGGGAGGCCTACGTACCAGCCCAACCGAAAGTCAAAGTCAACATGCTCTTACAGAAATTCCCCCTGCAGATCCGTAGATGGTATGTGATATTGTGCCAAGATATCTTGCTTCCGAGAGAATGCAACAAACACATGGTCCCAGATAACTCTTCAAAACCAGTTCTCAGAAAACATTTCACGCTTTCCAACAAGATACAATACACACGGAGTACTTCGGAAAATCGATAGATAGCGGCAACTTATAGATCCCTCCATGACTGATACAGATCCCACAAATCAACATACCCTCAAATACTCAAAATCAGATACCAACCATTTCCGAATACAGCCAATATACTCCTACATTTATGGATGCATCAAAGTCAATAAACGTAGATGCTACAGCAGCTATCACAGTGGATTAAGAAGCTACCATAAAACTTTCTTCCCACTGCACTGCCTCCACTGGCTAATCTGTGGCTATTAACGACACACTGAAAATTAGTGCATTGTCAAACCTGAAACAAATGCACCTCGGAGAGCCTGTACTCATAAAAATAAAGGAACAAATAGACCAGCTAAACGTCTTGGGCAAAACAATAAAATCCCTGTGGGTGGTACCCATCACACGGGTATCCCAGGAAACGAAAAAGCTGATCGAGCTGCTTCTCATGCAACCTCTCACAACACGTCCGTAATGCACAACACCCCATACCACGAAGGCGCTCATCAGAGAATTTATACAAAGCCATCGGCAAACACAATGGACCTCTAAACAAAGCACGTTTCGTGGGATACTGCCCAAAATCAGTACTAAACTTGATGTCCCGGAACCAAACTTTGGACCGCAGCAGACATACCCTGTCACCCTCAGCCACCTCTTTGAAAGTAAAAACCTGCTAACTTGCTCAACCTGCAACACTCCTTTATTGGTGGAACACGTGCTTGTGCAGTGTCCAATGTATCAGATCCAAATAATACAGTGCAAAGTGAACCCCAACCTCTCAAAGTTAGGCACCGTATTGCAACTGTTTAAAAATGTTAATATGTATGATCTAATTTAGATTTTTTCTATATTTTTTGTACAGCCATAGAACCAT